CGTCTGTGCTCTCCCACCTCTCCTACTCACAGCACCACATTTTGAAGGCCACTGGGAGTGGGGGGCCTGCTGGGCTTTTGAGAATTTTCACAATTTTTAAGGGAAAAGCTTTTTTTCAGAAATTAAAAAGAAAACCTTCTAAAAATATTTTCTCATATATGTTCATTTTACCTGTCTTTCCCTAGAATTTTCTAATGATCAAAAACACCACCGTCCCCACCCCAGCCAGCTACCAACATCTCCATCCTCATTAACATTCCTGCTTCCATAATAATCATCCTGACTTTGACATGCACACATCAGGCTTCATTACACGTGGATTTGGGAGAGGAATTGAACACACAGTTTTCACTAACTCCAAAAAAATGTATGTACTAAGCCATAGAATCATCTAATCAAGATTTCAGAAGAGATGCTTGACTTAAATGGTCAGATGCACTCACTGGTCTAATTTCAATGCACTTTCATTTATTCCTCAATACCCATCCCAAAGACCAATTCTTGACTGACATTTTGAAGAATTAGCTGGGGTTACTTAATATTTTAGGAAAGTAACAGTATTGTATTTCTCTGTCATCTTCTATAAAATTAGTCTAAATTAGTGAGGTTTTTGTAATACATATACAGAAAATCAAATATATGTTCCTTTTTGAGCATGAAAACACTTGTTATTTAATTTCTAAATAAATTACATTTCTAAATGGTGTTGATTATAATAATTCTGTTTAACCCATTTCTTTCCTGATCTTACTAAAAGTTGTCCAGACAGCTGACTAGCCCTGGTGTTATACTAATGTCAAGCCAAGAGAGCTCTAGAGCTACAGCTTTATGTGGGCCAGTGGTTTACTGCCCTGACCTGAAGACTGCTGGTCTTCAGACATTTGCTAATGCATTAGAAAGCATTGGCCTGAAGGATTTATGTGGGAGCCTTCTGACAAAATCATCATTGGTTACATAGCACCCTATAGTGGCATCCTGTTGTTACCTGCATATTTATCAGGCCTGTCAGTATGATTTATACACAGCTTCAATAAGTATTCTGATTTTTAAATTGATTATTGAAAAATATGACCTATTCTCATGAAGGAAAATACAGATATTACACTGTATTAAATTTAGGTGTGGTGAGAACCATAATGGAATACCACTATGCACTTACTATAGTGGCTAAAAAAGACAGAACAAAACGAAACAAACTGACCACACCAAGTGCTGACTGACAAGAACGCAGAACAATGGGGTTCCGTGTCGTTCTGGGGAACTGCACGGTGGTCCAAGCACTTGGAAAACAGGTTGGCAGTTTCTTAAAAAGTTAAACACACTTTTCATATCACCCAGCAATTCTATTGCTAGGTATTTACCTAAGTGAAATGAAAAATTATATCCAAACCAAAAGCCTGTAAGTGAATGTTTATAACTGATTTATTCATATTTGCCTCAAACAGGAAACCACCCCAATGTCCATTAACTGGTGACTAGATAAACAAATTCTGGCTCTTCCTTACAACAGAATACTACTCAGCATATATGGGTGAGCTCACTGATACACAGAGCAACACGGGTGGGTCTCAGACTCATCACGCTGAGTGAAGGAAGCCAGGCTCAAACGGGGTGCATACTGTTCCATCCCACTTTATGACGTTTGGGAAGAGGCAAAACTATAAAGGTAGAAAACACATTAGTGGCTGCTGGGAGTGGGGTTGAACAGAGAGGGGCATAGGGCATTTGAAGGGATAATGGAACTATTTTATATATAGATTGTGGTAGTGGTGCTTACATGAGTGTGTAGGTTTGTCAAAACTTAAAGCACTTTACCCCTAAATAGAGTGTTTTCATTGTGTATAACTTTTACCTCAATAAATTTAGTGAAGATAAACATGAGTTTAAAATATATATATTCTTTCCTTGTTTACATAAAGATACAAATGAAAGCCAACAACCTCAGTAGCCCTCTGGCAGAGATGGGTTTACTTCGCTGCCAGTCTAAGATGAGGCAAAGGCTACCATGTTACCATGGATACAAGCTATTATTTCCTTTGGTGGGAAACCTTGACTATTAACTTGTGAATCACATGTAATGGAGAGGTAGACTCAGAAACAGCCAACAAAGTCACTCAAGGGTTTCTCAGTTTTTAAGGAACCCTGCCTGTAAAGTTTTCTTCATGAACACATGAGAAACTGTGACATCAGTGAATATATCCTAAGTGATTAAAAGAAGCGAAAGCAGAAGCTTTGTAGCTAAACTTGAAGGTGATTCTGAAACTTGCCTGCTGGTTCTGTGGCCCTTAGGACTCTGTGTTTTCTTTTGTCTGTTATATAAATAATTCCCCATTGATCAATTCCCAAAACAATGGCATGTGGGAGGCTAACCCCTCCTCTATCTGTTGGCTTGTCCGTAAAATTATGATCTTCTAGTGTATAAAGTGGGTAATGGCAGATTGATGGTAAATTTTAAATTCACAAGAATTCTTTGTCATAGGGCTCAATTTAGCAAGTTGTGATAATTTATTCAAAATAATGCTAAGGTTGAAATTGACTCGAAAAGCACATATATTTTAAAACTCTGTTAAAGATGTGTTGCTACAGAGGCTGCTTTGTACCCACATAGCAATGAGTGGAAAGGGAAATCATAGCCCTTGACACTGAGTGCTTCTCCTCTGCTAAGGAGCTACTGTACATGCCTCTGGGCTGTCAGCTCTCACCACTCCCTGCCTCGCTCTTTAGGAGCCAAGAATCCCAAGCAACCCGGAGGCCCCCACGGGCACCATGCTATTTCTTGCCTTTGTGCCTTTGTCCATTCATTCCACCATTCAATGAATCTATTTTAATTGTCTACTATGTGTGTTACTGATTCAACTGTGTCTCCCAAATCTGTATGTTGAATTCCTAACCCCCTATACCTCAGAATGTGACCTTATTCAGAAATCAAGTTATTGCATATATGATTAGTTAATATTGAGGTCATATTTCAGTAATGTGGATCCCTTAATCTTATACAAATTGTGTCCTTGTAAAAGGTGGAAGTTTGGACACCGACATGCACAAGGGGAAGAACACCATGTGATGGCGGAGGCAGAAGGCATGGAGATGTGTCAAGAAGCCAAGGAATGCCAAAGACTGCCCGCAAACCAATAGCATCTGGGGAGAGGCATGGAGCAGAGCCTCCCTCCCAGCCCTGCTCACACATTGATCTGGCACTTCCAGCCTCCAGAGATGTGAGACAAAAATTCTGTTGTTCAAACCAAAACAAAATCCCCCCTCCAAAAGAAATGAAAACAAAAGCAAAAAGAACTATATTGAAATATATTTCCTTCTGACAAGGAGATCCTGCAAAAGTGCAAGAATGTGCACCACCGAGCACCTCCTTTAAGGGGCTGGAAGGAGCTCACCCTGCCTCCTCAGACTTCTTCAAGACTGAATCTTTGACCATAGTAAAGGTTTATCAACTTTTAAAGTAACTGGGGTTATCTTTCCTGGAGGAAAAGAGGGCCCACTTCATGGGATGTGAGAGAGCAGCTTGCAGGCTAGGTCTGGTGATCTGGTGTAGTGGTCTTTGGGGAAATGGATAGACAGATTCTCCTCTTGGCAAAGACACAGACACATATTCGATGTTGGGGCATATGGGCAACCCCAGGAGCTTCGAGCAGCAGCTGTTACTCGGATTTCCAAGTGCAGGGACCTGAGCAATGACTGTAATGACATTTTCCTGGCTGGCTCTGACCTCTGAGTCTCACTGATTTGTCTAACACATACTGCGAACATCACCCAGTTAGGACTCAAAGCCAACCTGAAAATTGCTTTAAATGGCAGGAGATGTTTAAGACATAATTTTTGTGACTTGGTCATTAACTTGTTTATATCCCAACCCAAGCATCTCTTTTATCTCCTTTCCTCTCAATTATTTTTTCCCTACTTGGCTAATGTTTCCGGAGCAGTTACCTCTAGTCATTAAGACACTTGTGTAGGCAATTCATGCTCCTGACCTTAGAGAGCAGTCAACATGGATAGGGGAATTAAATTTATCCTACTTTACCCTACTCATGTTGTATTTTAATTTCCCATCATCCTACTTATATTTCCCTTGTATAAATAAAAACAATCTCTTTTTTTTTCAGAAAAAGGTGTTTAGGTTTACATATTCAGGAGGTAACATAAAAACACCCATGTATGAAGATAATTTACACTGTATCGTTCTGAGATAACTCAAAGGCCCAAACCCCTTAAGTGTATCACATATAAATCGGTGTTTTCAGATATAAATCTAGCTGTGAATCTCTGATTCTGTGCCCCTGTTGCTGTGCTCACTCAGGTTTTCCCCTCCCCTCCACTCCTCATTTCCCAGTCCACCTTCCTTCTCCTTCTTCCAAAGTCCACAGCTCCTATCTCTTTCCAACAATTTCCAGAAATACACATCTTTAAATTTCGTGTGCAAGGCTGAAATCTGACCTCTTTAACAAAAGCACAGATGCTGCCCTGTTTCGAATGTTGCCTATTGCTCCAAATTCTTCTGCTTCATCCATTCCACGTCTTAAACACGTGTAGCAGTGTGTTCACAGAACCTGCCTGGACCCTAAGTGTGATCCGAAAGAAATGGAAGCAGTACTGTGTTGACATATACCTTGAAAACAAGCTCACCATACTCTGCAAAAGCAGTAGGCATGCTTTTAATCTAGAAGTTCTAAGATTATAGAACACTGTGTCATGATTCGCAGGATTTCTGACCATTTGCCATGAAGCTAAATTTCAAATACAATTTTTTCAATCTTCTAGATTCCCTTCCTATTTCCTACCCTGAGGGTATAGTGTTTCACTGTATTTCTTTAGCTTGGCTTTTCTCCAGATTCTACCCTTCCACAAATAGTCATTAACACTTTCCTTTCCTAGCAACCTAGCTTTTCGGTTGCCATTTCTCCCTCCCCTTTCTGGCAAATGACTGTTACTTCATTTCCAGCTATGCCCACAGCCTTCTCTCTCAGGGAGAAACCATCTGCACCCCATACCTGCTGCATGCCTTGCATGGTTTGCTGCAGGAATTGGAGCTGCTGGTCCTTGGTGACACTTTCTTCTGTTCGGAAAAGCTGTTCCTTTTCCTGTTTCAGCAGCTCCACCTCATTCCTGTAGGCATCCAGCTGCCAACGGAGACTGTCATTCTCCTCTTTAAGAGCATAGGCTTGAGCAGCCAGGGCTGGAGGACAAACAGAATGAGTTCAAGTGAGTTACATTCCTGCTCCGACTGAGGCATCCTTTAGTCTCTCACCCCAATTCTTAACACTTATACAAGCTCAGAAATAAACCCAAAAGGTCTAGGCCTGGGGCTCTTTATTTTGCAGTGAGAATTATGTCTTCTGGAATTTTTATCTACTTAATTTGTCCTGTCTTATGTTTGAATGTTTCTTGTGGGCACAGGATTCCTTCCTTCCAAATTCTTGTCTCTTGACCTCTCCCCCAATCCTGGGCACCGGCTCAGAAATTGGTACGTGTTGCCAGATGAAGGCGTTCACAATCCCTGAGGACAACCCCACCTGCCACATCATTGTCCTCTCCCTTGCTGCCGGCTTGTTCAGCTCCTCGGGGTACCACTCTCTTCCAGATACTCAGCAGCTCCACAGGTTGAGGCATGCAGCCAGGCCCCAGGGGAGAGAGGGATCTATATGCACACCATCCCTCCCTGCATACTGCTGGGGCAAACTGCACGAATTGTTTTCTCTGACTCCTATCACAATGGTAACCAGTTCCATTCGTTTCACCAGCAGACTCAAATCTCTTTTTCCCTACAAGGTTGGGTGGTTACTCTAATACTGCTTCCTGAAACCTAAATTCCGTGTAGATTCAGCCATCACTCACATCTCCATTTTACTGAGAAGCCAAGACAGTTAATTCAGGGTCTTCTATGTCTCAAGGATTCAGCAACAAATGAAGCTGAATAAAAGAGCAGAGTGACTAGGACAAAACAAAAGGGAGGATGAAGACTCCATTTCCCTCATTTCCAGTTTACTGCTTTGTGGTTTCTGCAATAATGATAAGAGCTTGCTGGACACTCACCATGTTATAGTCTCTTGACCAAAAGCTTCACATGAACTAAGTTCATCCCCCACCAACAACCCTATGATGTGGGTGCTTAATCCCCCACTTTGCAGATGAGAAAAATAAAGAATGGAGAAGTTAGAGATCTTGTTGGAGGCCACAAGGTCAGTAGCATAAAAAGGCATCAAAGCTGGGCTTCTGGCTCCAGGGTCTTTGCTCTGGTCACCGGGCCATTCCGCCCATCCAGATGTGTTTAGTTCTTACCAGACTGTCCAGAACCAATCTTAGGTTCTCCTCTTCTTCCCACCCACCAGTTCCTATACCTTCTTCCCCTTTCTATGGAAAACTCATTCTGTTCTTTTGTAAGGAAGAGAAAAGTGAAAGAATTTAAAAAGCTTGTTGTCAGAAACTTCTTCAAAAAATGGCTTCCAGTTTGTAAGGGTGTGGTGCAGAGCCCACTTACTGTTCAGCAGGTTCTCCACCCATGCCCATCTCTACCACCATCCCCCCAATACCACTCAGCCAGCCAGATCGAGGTCAGCCTTCTGGATGGTCAGCCTTCTGGGTGGTCTACCTCCACACTACAGTACAATGATGATAAGTCCTCACTGAGGTGATGTGAGACCCCAGTGAATTCTCTCCTCAAATATCAAACATCAAATTAGGTTAATAATAGTTCTACAGTTGAGTGTTTTATGGTATTCTACTTTTGTAATTTGTGATTATATATAGTACATGCTGAGATACTAATTGGATAGAAAATGCAATTAACCAGAAAATTCTCTACTGCAAACCATTAGGGATCAGTCAGTCAACAAGTGTTTACTGCATACATACTCTGTGCCCCAAGGCCTGTCTGGACAACTTGGATCAGAAAAAGAGGAAAGAGGAGACAGAATATGTCTCTTCTTTTAAGGACCTTAAAATAGATCAAGACTGACACATTTGAAAGGAAACTAATATATTCAAGGGAAGAGAACACAGCGTTATTGTCTGGCATACAGCAGGCACTCAGTTAATGTTGGTTGGATGAAAGGAGCAACGTAGTGTCAAGGCATGTGACAAGAGACTACATCCTACAGGACTTTGGAGAAGAGAGGAAAATGCAGCCTGGAGTCATAAAAGAGGGCTTTGAAGGAGGACAGCCCAAGAACTGGGAACAGTCTCTCAGTCAGGAGCAGCAGCATAGGCGAAAGCCCAGAGCCAGGAACTGAAGGCAGACTCTTCGGGGCAGGAAGGAGAGGAGCTTCAACAAAAAGGCAAGTGAGAGAAAGGTGAGCCAGCCATGGCAGGTGATGAGAGAGGACTGGGCCCCAAAGTCGGACCAGAGAGTCAGGCTCAATGGGGCGGCCAGCTGGGAACCACTGGAGGTAGTTGGGCAGCAAAAGGACACGATGAAGCTGGTGATGAAGGAAGATTAGTTTGGCAATGGTGCGTGGAATGAACTGGAGGCTGGAGAGAATGAATAAAGGAAATTTTATTTGGTGTATGTGTGTGTGCAAAACCAAGGAGCAGCCAATTTACAGTTTTCAGGGACTTACTCATAAAATCAGAAATGACCCAGAGTATACTTGGAGTGTGAGCTACGGCTTTTAAACACTGTGCAACCCAAGTTCAGACGCTGTCCACACCCTGAGATATCAATTCCAGACAACTCAGTTTACCAATCAGTAAGGAAATGGTTATGAGGCAGCATTTAAGAGAGGGGATGTTGTAATAGGGCAAAATTACGGAAAATGCAAATGACGGAAAAAGTGTTGGCACTACATTGCATATTACTACATTTAGTAGCATTCAAAGACACTTAAGTCGTTTCCTTAGGAAGCTCTATTTGGCCCTTTTTCAATTTAGAGTGGCATTTTTATTATCATAACTGATAGCAGGTGTTTGTGAAGAAATCGATTAGTATGCAGAGATGGAAACTACATTTTCCAAATGAATTGCATAGTCTGCAAGATATGCTGAAATCTGTGTAGCAAAACACAAGCAGCTATAAAGCATGTGCCAGCAACATTATTTAAATAAATTATCTGAACATAAATGCATATAGGAAAGTGCACCATCCATTATTTTAGGGGCCTCTTTTAACCCTGTGGAATAGCACTGCTGACAGTTCTTATTCTTGGCTAAGCCAAGTGACCATTGCTCCTGCAACGTAGGATACAACGCTGTTTGCACTTCTGAAATAGGAATGTGATATCATTATATATATATACATATATATAAACTCAGCAGCTGTAACTCTACCCACCTGCCACTCCCCCAAAATCAATACCATAGCCAATCCCATCAACATTTTTATAATTGGGGCATTTAACTGATTTACATTCCTGATTAAATGATTTCAAGCTTGATATTTGCAAAAAAGAATTTTGGTTATTCATGTGGCAGCAAAGTGGTTATCTCCTAAAGGGTGAGAAATTGAATATTGACTCCACTTAACTTCAGGCCACCTATTTGTAAACATTATTTGGCAACATGCTGCAGCCCTGAATCCAACCCTCAGATGAGGCTCCCTGGAAGAAGCTAGATTTTTTTTCTTGGACCAGAGCTCTAAAAGAAACAAAATCCTAGTATATTTCTAACCTAATGTCATTTCTCCAGTGCATTAAAAATTCAGAAACTTTAAAGGGCCACTCTTTCTTTTCTCTTTTTGGTTTTACTCTTCAGGTCTTTCTGGGACACTGTATTAAAAAGTTGTGAAAAATGTGTAATCAAGTTCCCATGATAATATTTACCCTTGAGAGACTGTACAACAAATTCATTATTCAAATAATCATTAGGATTAAAAATAAGTGACAATGTGCATCTTCTTATAAGAATCCCTAAGGAGTGCACTGTGTTTCAAGAAATGGAATAGTTAGGGAAGAGCCACAGGTGGATTACCGATGTTCAATAAAAAAAGAGAATACAATAATTCTTTCAATGTAAGCTATTCTGAACATACTTAAATCTTCTTTTGGTGATTTTAAAGGCACTGCTGAATCTAGTGGTGCCTCCGGGTTATCAGTTCACTCACCGATCACTTGTTTATGCAGAACCCACGTGCCAGGAGCTGCAGCATACACAAGGCTAAGGCTAGTGAAGCCATTCAGTTATAATTGCTGGGGACCTGAGAGAAATTCTGTAACTGGGATTTTCTGCTTGGATCGAAAATGAAATAACATTGTAAAACCTTTGCTCAGCAAGATTTAATAGCATTTCAAAAATTAGTGCTAGCTTACTAAAATTACCAAAGTGACACTAGTGTAAGAAAATTGATTCAGAGATTATATTGCACTGCTGAAGAAGAGGTTTAAAGGTATTATAGCACCTCTCTGTACCCTTTACTAGATTCCATATAAACCATTGTTCTGTATATTAATTATGGTCAAAGTGACCTCTGTCTCCTGTATTACTGTGTTTCCATGGGAACAGATAATAGCATGCTTAACTTAAGTAAATAATCTGGGGAAAGCCTTGAAATTTCTCTCTTACCAGCCTGAGTCAGCCTCAGAAAAATAATTAGCACCATATGAAAAATGTAAGTTATTTTGGGTTATGTCCCAGTAAGCTGACAGTATGTTAATATCTTTTTCATGCTCAGGCAAGATGTAACTAAATAAAAAAACACTTTATCATATTGTTTCTATCAATATCTGGATTTCTCAAGAACTGTTCATCTTTGTGTCTTTGGGGAACTCAGTGTTTAAAATTCTCCCTCCATTTGCCACATGCCCTGGAATGCTGGGAGGCTGCTGCTGAACTGTGCATTTCTTTCCCACATGCGAAGAAAGTCTTTTTCAAGGATGTCATCAGTGTCTGCCCAGATAGGTGGTTGTGCTGGTGGGTACAGGACACAGGACTGCATGGATGGGCCTGAGGCCTGGAAGCTATCCTCACAGTGGCCTGGTAACAGAGGGACTCTCCAGGCTCCATCTGGCTCCCACATTCTGACCTCTCTTGCAGGGAGCCTGGGTGTCCGGCCATTCATCTATGGTGGTGTCAGCACACAGTGTACCCAACCTCATGTTCTCTTTGCTCCAGGCAGTGTTGTTCCCGAGAAGTGACTGCCTCAGGGGTGGNCAATGGCCTGCATTGGAATCTCCTGGTGGAATCCCGAAACACATTTCTGGGCCTTAACTGCAGAGCTTCCAGTTTGGTATGTCCGGGACCAAGCCC